CATCATATCCCTCCTTAGTCTCTTTTCTAAGTTGACCAGTCCCAGTCTCTTTCATCTCTCCTCATAGGGAAGCTGTTCCATGCCCCTAATCATTTTGTTGTCCTTCTCTGCATCTTTTCCAATTCTAACATTTTTTTTTTAGATGGGCTGACCAGAACTGATTACAGTATTTAAGGTGTGGCATACCATGGATTTAAATAGTGGCATTAGGATATTATCTTTCTTATCACCTATCACTTTCAAATAGTTCCAAACATTTTGTTAGCTTTTTTGTTTCCAGTTCATTTATTAGTATGTTGAACAACAGTGGCCCGAGTACAGATCCCTGGGGGACCCCATTATTTACCTCTCTCTAGTGTGAAGACCGACCATTTATTCCTACCCTTTGTTTCCTGTCTTTTACCCAGTTACTGATCTATGAGAGGACCTTCTCTCTTATGCTATGACTGCTTACTTTGTTTAAGACCCTTTGTCCATGTCAAAGTCTTTCTAAAAATTCCAAATATACTATACCCACTGGATCACCCTTATGCACATTTGTTGATCCCCTCAGAGAATTCTAATAGATTGGTGAGGAATGAGTTCTTTTTACAAAAGCCATGTTGACTCTTCCCCAACAAATCATATTCATCTATGTGTCTGATCATTCTGTTCTTTACTATAGGTTTCAACCTATTTGCCTGGTACTGAAGTTAGGGTTACTGGTCTCTAATTGCTAGGAAAGCCTCTGAAGCCTTTTTTTAAAATTGGTGTTACATTAGCTATCCCCGGTCATCTGGTATAGAAGCCAATTCAAGTGGTAGGTTACATATTGCAGTCAGTAGTTCTGCATTTTTCATATAGGAGTTCCTTCAGTATTATTGGGTGAATACCATCTTGTCCCTGTGACTTATTAATGTTTAAATTAACAGTTTGTTCCAAAACGTCCTCTATCAACACCTTAATTTGGGACTTTTCCTCAGATTTGCCAGTTACAAAGAATGGCTCAGGTGTAGGAAAGTCCCTCACATGCTCTGCAGTGAAGACTGATGCAAACGATTCAGTTAGGGAATCAAGGCCGTTGCAGAGCAGCTGAATGCTCATTTAGCACCCAGTACCGCACTGATTTTATGGCAGGCTTCCTGATTCTGATGTACTAAAAAAAAAATAATAATAATAAGTTTCAGCGACTTTTGCTAGTTGCTCTTCAAATTCTCTTTTCAGCCTGCCTAATTATAGTTTTACACTTGACTTGCCAGACTTTATGCTCTTTTCCTCAGTAGGGATTGACAAAATTTTTAAGACATGTCTTTTTTGCTTCTAACTGCCTTATTTACTCTGTTTCGCCAAGGGAGTATTTTCTTAGTCTTCTAAACATTTTTCCCCCATTTGGGATACACATTTACTTTGAGCCTCTATTATGGTGTTTTTAAAATGTTTCCATACAGCTTGCAGGCATTTCCCTTGTGAGTGGTCCTTTTAATTTCCATGTAAATAATTTTCTCCCTTTTGTGTAGTTCCCCTTTCTGAAGCTGAATACTACTGTGGTGGGCTTCTTTGGTATTTTACCCCTCACAGGCATATTAAATTTAATTACATTATGGTCTATATTACAAAGTGGTTCAGCTGTATTCACATCTTGCACCAGATCCTCTGTGCCATTTAGGAGTAAATCTAGACTTGCCTCTCCCCTTGTGGATTCCAGAACTAGCTGCTCCAATAAGATGCCATTAACGAGGAATAAAAACTTTATCTCTGCATCCCACCCTGAGGTGACATGGACCCAGTAAACATGTGGTCAGTGGAAATCCCCAAATATTACTGAGTTTTCCATTTTTATAGTCTCTAATCTCCCTGAGCATTCCATAATCACCAGGAACATCCTGCTAAGGTGGTCAGTAATATATTTCTTTTGCTATTCTCTTATTAGTCAAGCATGGAATTTTTATCAGTAGAGATTCTATGGTACAGTTTGATGCCTTTTTTCCTGCCCCCTCTATATTTCACTCTATGCTGTCTTTCACATAGAAGTGCCACTCCCCCACCAGCACAACCTTGTCTGTCATTCCTATATAGTTTGTATCATCACTTCACCAAGTTTCTGTGATGCCTATTTTATCAATATCCTCATTTAAAACAAGGCACTCAAGTTCATGCATCTTAGTATTTAGCCTTCTTCCATTTGTATACAAGAACTTAAACAACTTGTCAATATTTAGTTGTCTACCTTCATGTGATGTAATTGAACAGGACTCTTCATTTGACTGTTTCCCTTCAGATACTACCTGTACTTTATGAATTTCTATCCTCCTCTTTATTAAGATATACAGAATCCCCATTAAGAGATCCTCCCCCAATTGGTTGGCTCAAGAGGACATACTATGGCCATTGAACTTGAGCTACATCATGCATTTGAGTCAGAGCTCTAACACTGCGTGTTGTGAATTTTTCTTTCATTCTGAAGGAGTTTCTCTTGGAAGTTTGGCCCTGATAACAATATTTCTGTGTTAAAAACAATATTTCTGAGTGTTCTCAAATCTACATGGAGATATTGGACTAGTCGCTAATTAAGAGTTTTGTGAGAATTGTCTGTCAGCTAGTGGTGTGAAAAATCACATCCTTGCCTGACATAGCTGGGGGTGGGGGGAAGGGAATCCATTTAAAAGAAATCAAAGGCATTATATGCCTAGAAAATACATTAAAGCAGAATTAAGGTTGTCCAGTGCAGCCTCATACCCTTCCAGCATGTTGATGGTGGCGAAGGTTACAAACTCTGAAAACCAGGAAATGAAGAACTAAACTACACACTATACCTGCAATACAACCTTAACTCTTAAAATAAAATAAATAAATAAATAAATGGAAGTATCCTATCTCCTAGAACTGGAAGGGACCTTGAAAGGTCATTGAGTCCAGCCCCCTGCCTTCACTAGCAGGGCCAAGTACTGATTTTGCCCCAGATCCCTAAGTGGCCCCCCTCAAGGATTGAACTCCCAACCCTGGGTTTAGCAAGCCAATGCTCAAACCACTGAGCTATCCCTCCCCCACTTCCCCTACCTCCTAACCATGCAGTTGGCAAATGTCACTCGGAATATATCAGCAAGAGCGGTTCAAAGGTTAACCAACTACTCAGGGAAGTAGCAAATTTTCCATCTATTGAAGTCAAGACTGGATGCCTTTTTTGAAGATGTTTTCATCAAAACACGAGGTATTCAACTTACTACAATGGTAACTGCATGAAACTGTATACCTGTATTATACAGGAGGTCAGATTACTAGTATCTCTTGGCTTTAAAATATACTGATCAATAATTAATAGGAGGAAGGACTAAGAATGTGACATTCTTGGTGTTCTATTCTACAAATTTGAATACCAACAGATCTGCATACACTTCAGCTATGTGCACTGTGTCAGCTATAGCTTTAAAGGAACAGTGGAGGGAAGAGTTGGAGCAGCTTAGCAGAGCTACGGCTGTGATATGAAGACACAGGAATGTGAAACCTGAAGGAACAGGTATTCCTCATGTCAGTGCTGAGTGTTGTAGGTTGTGTCAATGAAGGCACACAAAGGTGTGTTCTTGTCACAAGGTTTGTCAGCAGTCAGGGGGCATATATGCTAGTGGTCTCCAATGCTCAGGCAGGGTAAGTGAAGGCAGTTACTCAGAAGGAATCCTCAGTGCAAGGGTAAAGAGGTGGTGACATTATGAAAGTCTGAGATGGATTGTGTGTAGTAGGCTCAGTGTCTGAGCGCAGGCCAGGGGCAGGCAGCTTCTGTTCCCTACATGGGACCTAATCCCAAGTTTTGCCTCAGCAAAGAGAAGGTGTTAGACTTTGTGCTATACTGCTCCTGTGCTCT